CGAGCCGAGCCGAGCCGAGCCGTGCCGAGCCGAGCCGAGTTTTAGTAATTGCCGAAATTTTGGGTTCCATTGCTGGCTAAATGGCGATAACGGTGAATGAAGAAAACGCTTACTTTCATGTTAAACAAACATCCAATATTCGAGGTCCACCGGTCCTGAGAATGCGAGGGAAGGGCTTGAGGCTCAAGTCAAGTGGTCCTTCTTCTGTTTCGTTGATGGCGCAAGGAAAGTACTGCACTTCATCATTCTCTCCCTTTGCATCATTTCCGCCGACCCAATATGGGTTAAGCAAACACAAATTGCAAAATTCATCTCTTCCATTTTGTCTCCCGTGTACAGTTTTCTGGATCCAAAAGTGATGATTTTCACATAAAACGTCGCATTTCAAAATTTGGTTGAACCAGGGACAGGAGCACATTTTGCTCAGTGGAAGGAAATTCGATTTTTACTGAAGGGGCCATTTCAACTCTGGAAATGCATCCTTTTTTCACCGAAAACCGAATGGATTTTTACAATGAAATATTTCAACTCATTTCGTCTTTACATCTAAAGCCAGAATTAGAAACTGGCTCCTTAGATACTCTGTGCAAAAGTGGAGTCATTCAGAAATAGCGAAAGTAATACTACTTACTAATAATAAGCTCTCAGTGGCTCATCTTTTCACAGTTTCTTCAAAACTAAGATGATAGCAGCTTTAGCTGTTTAGCATGAACCAGTACTAATTTCTGCCAAAATGAATGAACAATTCGTAGAGGAACTGGTTATCTCTTCGGTGGAGTCGATTCCTAGACCTGCAACTTGATGATGCGCCAGCGTCACTTCATCATTACCGCGCCTTTCACATCTAAGTAATCCTTTTTGTCATCTCTATTTTTTAGTTATAAAGTAAATTTCAGCTATCGAGGAAGAGGACCCTTGGGATGGCGAAAGGGAGCTGATAAAACTCAGTGTGTTGCAGCATAGTGATGAGGAAGCAAGCAGTTCATCTGCCCTTTCGAGCACCGGACCGAGCTCGGATCGTTCAGTTATCACCTCAACGGACACGTCATCGGAGTAAGTTATAGGCTTTCGGGAAAAGGAGAAGTCAGACAAAGCTCTGTTTTTTTCTCTCATACCTCCATGTCTTAATAGTGGCTTTTCGGTAGCCAAGCTACTCAATCGGTTGGCGTAGGTTAGGATTTTGCTGACATGCAACCACACTAATAGAAAAAATCCCGTCTTCATTACTCTGCATTTTTTGTACTTTTAATAAATTACAGACAAAAAACGCACTCTATCGAGAACAAATCTCTGTGTTTGTTTTGCGTTTACTCAGTAATTTGATTATTCAAACTAGTGGGCTGAAATTTTTCAGAACATGATCCTCGATCTTTTATTAGTTTTACAACCCAATTCGACTTGTAAGCCAAGAATACAAACGAACTGGAAATTCTGCTTTATAAACCCAACACTTCCGAGAATACCCCAAAAATAGGGCTTCAAATCTCATAATATCTTGATCCAAACTCTCAGATTCAAATTCTGGCTCAGCAACGACTTAGCAGTCAGCAGTAACAAAACGGAAATTGTGACTTATTGATGCGTTAAATAATCCTGGAGAAATAACATTGTGTGATGAATGTGGTGTATGACTTCAGATTCAGATTCAGGCTTATTTTCTAGTTTTAAATCGAGCTCTGGGGGAAAAAAAGAGTTGAAATTAACTGACGGAAAGTCTAACGATTTGAAATCGCTGATCACAAATCCATCATTAAATGATCACCCCAAACCTGCACATACAAACATTCCTTGGCCAAAATGTGTTTCAAAATCAAAACGAAAGCTAAAAAGCAATTGTGTTTAGGAAAGAAAGCAAGAAATAAATAAAAATTATATTGTTGCCAGCAAAATGTATGCTTGCTACACTTTGAAATGCTTTTTTTTCGTAAAAAAGCAGCCTGTGGTTGCATAAATGCAGCAGCTAGCATTAGCATTAGCAACTGTTCTTGCTTCTTCTTCAGGAGGATGAGCAGCGGTGAGCCGATCCCGTGCCTCTCCGTCGGCCCGTACCATCAGCGTCCGGCGCCTATTCTTGCAGACAACGCTTGTAAGTTTTACGTTTTTTATATCACGTCATTTCACTGCTATTGTTTCTTAATTTCAGTGCAGCTGTCATTTTTGGTATTTTAGCCTTTTTTATGCATGTTTCCATTGCATTTTTAATTTTATTACAAAATCCACTGAGCGTTAACCACGAAAAAAGTGCACAACAGCTCGGTTGACATCTGAAAAGGTAGCACACATATGCTGAACAGGCAAGGCGGTATGTGCTAACTAAAGATATGCGGTTTGGAAACAAAGGCATAACCGCGTCAAATGTGTGGGAGCATTTCAGTAATATCACTGGCATGGGTTACATATACTGTTTGTCCAGCCGGTTCTGGTGTTCCTGGTATTATAAAATTATCGTTATCAACTAACTTTTCAGTCTTCCATTAAGTAACAACATTGCTACATTTTACCAAGATATGTATGTCTTGAAAGTGGATGTGTGCGATAGACATGAATGTAGTCTTATCAAATGCCACAGTTATTCCGCTGTTTTTGTTTTTATGCGTTTTGTGCTGTGTAACAGCGTTACAAAACGCATACTATCACGGGGTTGTCTGTGTGTGTGTTTGTGTGTGTGTCCCACATTTTATCCCGCTCAACTCGGGAACCACAAAAGCTAGGCGGCTGAAATTTTGGTATGGTGTTTCCCGCCAAAGGGTGACGTGGCAAATTTAAATTCAGCCTTCCCGTACCCGCGGATAACTCGTGCGGCTTTATGAAAGTTTTTTACGGGTAAATCAATATCTCAGGAACCACGGAGTCTAGGAGGCTGAAATTTTAGAGTAATGACCCTCTGCCCACGCCCAACCTTGCCCATTCAAATTCAGCCTTCCCGTACCCGCGGGTAACACGTACGGCCCCGTGAAATTTTTTTGCAGGTAAATCAATATCTCAGAAACCACGGAGTCTAGGAGGCTGAAATTTTAGGGTGATGACCCCCTGCCCACGCCCAACCTTGCCATTCAAATTCAGCGTTCCCGCGCTCTCGGGTATTACCTACGGGCTAGTGAAAGTTTCTACGGGTAAATTATTATCTCGGGAACCATGGGGTCTAGGAAGCTGAAATTTTAGGGTAATAACTCCCTGCCCACGCTCAACCTTGCCTATTCAAATTCAGCGTTTCATCGCTGTTGAGTATCATCTACGGCCTCGTGAGAATTTTGGCGGCTAAACTATTAACTAGGGAATCACAGAAAGATATTCACCCTTCAAGATTTCGAATTCAGCTTTCATGCGTTGGTGCGTGAAATTTTTAACTATTTTCCAATTTTTGAATTATTTTTGCATAGACAAAAGTACAAAGCAGTGAAAATCATTAATAGACAATCGCTCGATGGGCTGAATTGCACAAAACGCATGATCGCACCGGCTAGTCTGGTGCGCGTTGCTATTTATAGTTGCTTGCAGAAAAATATGTGGCTACACCCATGCCTTCTTCGCCTTATCAAGGATGAACAGCGGTGAGCCGATCCCGTGCAAAGTTTCGAAGAGGGGCGTGGGTCTGTGGCCACATACCTCCAAGACATTCTTATATTTAATGTGTGTGCGCTAACAGCGACTATGTTCCCGAGTGCATTCCTTATTAAAAAGTATATATTCAGTGATAGGCGCATCAGTGCAAAGGAGCTCTGCACAACTGCATTCCGCGTTTGACTACACCCAGGTTAGACAGATATTCCATGCCCAACAGTGCGGGTAATCCTGGTGGATAGGTATAATTAAATTAACGTAGAAGCTGTGACTCCCTCTGAAGCACACAAAAAGGTGTTTGTTGCGAGTGTCTTAACAAATACCTCTGCAACCAGCTAAACACAAAAAACAAAAGAGGAATCAGTTCATGCGCAGGATTTAAAGGATATGGTCAGTTGCTGTATGAAGGGAGCTGAATACGGGGGCGTGGAGCATGAACGCGGGGGAGTGTTAGAGTGAGATCATTCATTTATAATATATAACCAATTGACTTCCGCTTCGTTGCATTCTCACTAATTTAGACATCGATGAACACTTTTGTGTCCGGCATCCACCTCACCCTACCCCATCTCCGGCCCCGACCTCGTCCTTGTTCAACCCATTCTCCCCTATCCTCCGCGGTCCAATCCGGCAAAACCTGACGCACAGCTTCAGTGACACGTGTTGTTTCATTTCTCATATTTCACTTTATATTATCCTCCCTGCGGCTGATCATATTACGGTAATAATCATCTATTTCTAATTGTTTATCATATCCTACTATTTGTTTATAGTTTGTTACTATGATTCAGTAATGCAAAATTTGTAATCGCAGAAATTTGAACGTACTGAAAATCCCGTAGAAAATAATGAAAAGTTATGTGGAACACTAAATTTTGACGCCCCGAACTAC